ATGCTATGACGACGCGGTCGATATGCATTCACGCGTGTGGAAATTATTCGACAGTCAACTCTGTCAAAACGGAGGGTTGCGCGTCTATAAAAAAAAAAAAAAAAGTAATCCGGTTTTGATTTCTAATAACGCGTTTCAATGTAATGACGCGCAAATGTATACACACGGTTGTTTGCTCATTTTGTGTGGATTTTCATGCAGGCGCTTCGATCGACCCAGATTCAACTTTTATCTTGAAAACAAGACGTAATTCTTTTCGTGTGATCAATAGGCGTGTGTACATTTTTTTTTTTCAATTGCAACGTTCTGTTGACAAAAAAAAAATTCTCGCACGTTTTCGACACGAAATTATCCTCGCGCTCCTATAAAGTTTTGTGCGGAACGATCTTTACGGTCGAGAGGAGATTGAAATAACCGATCTATCGTGGGATACGCGTTGCGGGATATATTCCCGCGCAGAATACGCCGGTTTTACTACCTTCCGCGTTTGCATGCGAAATAGGGACACGCGACGAGCCACGCACAGAATGCTAAATGGCGATTACACGCACGCGCGCGGGCGCGTGCTAATTCGCGACCGATCATTTCGTCACAAACGATCTGCGTACCGTGTGTGCACATCCGCGAGAGCTCTATTTCGCTGTGCAGTTGACAACATTTACGCGCGACAATACGACTCTCTGTCAACGCGGAATGCAATTATCACGAGCGCACACCTCTCGCGCGCGTAGCGCGAAAACTATCGAGCGGAAGCGCGTAAAACGCGCTCACGAGGTCGCGTTTTTTTTTTTTTTTTTTTTTTAATTCAATATACTTTGCAATGTTGACATTTATACGCGTACGGGCGTGGAAACGCGACGGAGACGGCCCCGCTCTAATAAAGACAGTAACACGCGCTATTTATCATGTCATCCGCACGTTTTATCGCTCAGCATCTCGCTCGCGTTACACACGGCTGTCACACACGTGGACACTGACGTTGCGCTGATCGCGTTTTCATACATTTTTGCCGCCGTGTAATCGCCGTCGGACTGTGTGTGCTGATGCCGATATTGCAATAGGTTTACGGGACATTAATTCGGGATTACTTAATTGCTTCTCCGTTACAATTGCGAACGATTTTATTTATTTTATGTTTGTTTTATCCACATAAATCTCGCGCGTGAATAATACAAGCGTATCGATGAGATTTTGTAATGCGCTACAAAAAAAAGCATTAAAACAATTGACGACAACAAAGTTGAATAAATAATATTGACAATAATGAGATGCGAGATAATGCTTCGTGAGTTAAATATGATAAAATGTGATCGACAAAAACTATGTAGGTGTAGTGTAAAAATTAAAGGCTTTTTGATTGAATTTTATCTCGAACAGCGTGTCCGACAACTTCGCGAACGTGAAATATGCGAAGAATTTCAAGATTTCGCTCCCGACGTGATCCCCCGATATAATGCGTCGTCGTACGAGAGAGCCGAGGCAAAAAAGGGACGAGTACATTTCGCTCAAGCCGTGGGGATCACAATTGCGCGAAAATTGTCTCAAGGGTGAGACGCAATTTCCCCAGGAAATTGTAATGATGCAACTGTTGAGAAAGCACTTGTACAACGCAATGTGCGTACCCTACTTGGGTACGTAAGTAAGACGGACAATATTTGTCGTCGCGTTCCATCTGGCTCTCTTCTCGAATTGGGTACTTTTTTTTTTTCTACGTCCGAGAGACATGTGCGAAGCGAACGAGAGCCGCCGTTTATCTCTTGCTTAGCAATTGCGTATTTCGCGACTAATCAGCGTTGTCGAGAAAGTTTTTTCTTGTCTGAGAGAAGAACAAAATTATTCACACACAACGAACGCGCGTGCGTGTTTTGACGAAAGAAAATGTGACGCTGGCATTTTTTGACAAAGCAAATTGATCGCAATATCGAATGTAGAGAATGCTACTGTTGTGTGTTTCATGTTTTTCGGCAAATATTGACATTCGTATTTAATGTTGCTGGAATATATTGAAATATTGCAACAGAAAATGCAGATCGTGCTCAAACAAATACGGGAAAGAACGTATACATCGGAAATATAATACATAAAATGAGAAAATTAAAATGAGAGAGAAAACAGAAAAAGGTGAATAGAAAAGAAAAAAGAAACAAAAAGAAGACACGATCGAATTTCTTGCGCGTCAACGTGGTCGCTGAAACTACGGAAATCCTGACGAGCGAGAAAATCCAATAGCTCGAAAAGTGGTAAAGCCGCGGTTTTGCGGCGACGAAAACCTTCGAATGATGCGCCTTCCACTCCAAGTGATGGAGCACCATGTCGCATTTCGCGTCCATTTTCATCGAGAAAAAAAGACTGTCGCGCGGATGCGAAAGACTCGTAGAAAGAAATAAAAGAGCCATTATCGAATTAGAATTGGCGGCCGATCGAAATACAAAACATCAAAATGTAAAAAAATGCGACAGATATCGCCGAGAGCGATCACAAACCCGCAAGCGCAATTTCGGTCTCGCACATTGAAATACATTTTTCGTGTAAATCCTTTCCCGTAAATCCTGTTCATGAAATTCCGTTCTTGCGTTAGGTTTCTCTGTAATATCGCGAGATCGTATCTTATCCCGCTTCATATCCGTGTCACTACAATATCCCGGGCGTTTCGTCGTCCATTTTCAAAGAGAAATTAGGGCGACTTGTGCGCGCTGATATTGTACGCTAGAGTGGGACCGGACGATAACACGCGGAAGGATAGCTAGTAGCACACGACCAAAGAGAATGGCAGAGAGAGAGAGAGGATACCCTAGGAAAGGGGTGGAAAGGGGTGGAATTACGACTGTATATTAAACACGAGCGCGCGATATGAATAGAGACGGAGAGCCATGGCCTACCTTAGCATTGTCGAAGCGCACGAAAGACAGGAAGAGAGAGAATGAAAACAATATCCCGGAGTCTTTCCTTGTACCGTGAAACGGTACGAATTGTCCTGTATGTTAATATAAAGGGGTGAATAGTGACTCGTGATAAAAAAGAAAGAACTGACGACACAGAGCGCAGGCAGAAACGAGAGAAATGTCTCACAGAAAAGAGAATATGAAAAAAAAAGAAACTGTGCGCGCCGCATCACTGACGAAACAGGAACACACGTTTGTACGAAACGCGGAGATACATTTCGGTATAAAAAAAAAAAAGAAAAGAAAAAAAAACTCAGAGAATTGTCGCACGGATTATATAAATCTCGCAAATCCGAATATTTCCAATGCTTGCGTAATAGTCAAGAAATTTTGTAAGGTTTATTTCCGCTCTCAATCGGCTGCGCGCCGCAAAGCGCGCGCGTCAGCTTAATCCTCTTTCGTTCCACTTTCCCAATCCGCAAACGCAACCGTTTTCCGTTCCTCGATCTCGCTCTTTGCATTCGGTCGTATCAAATTCAGCTCACGAGAGATTCGCGCGATACTCCGGCGCGCGTTTTTTCCGAATTCGCGCGAGTGCGCACACGGTGTGTAATTTATTTACACGACCTTTGATTAAACAAAAAAAGAAAAAAAAATAAGACTAACGAATTATTGAACGTATTTAATTGAACAATCAAGTATCGATATGCGCGAACGCGGGCATGCAAAATTACGAGTTAAATATTGATAACGGAGCGCCAGTCGGGGGCTATAATAAAAGCCGAGTACAATGATTTTTTAATAAGGGACTTTAAATAAAGATCGCGCCAAAACAATCGAGCAAGGGAAGTTTACTCGACGGGATATGTCTGGCAGCTCGTTAAATAATGTGCCACATTCTGCCAACTCCGTACACACAAACTCGCGGATTAGTTTCGGTCCGGCGTGGTAGGTATTCAGAGTAGTTCACAAGCACTTTGATTCGATGATGTAGCAATTTCTTCGGCGTCGTATCGGATTCGCCGCATCTCACTAGCGCGTTATTAACGCGCTGTTAGCTTGAATAAACGAATGGCTCGATTATATTCACCCGTTTTATATTGGAGAAACACAATTCTCACATTGTTGCAAGAGGAAAAAAGGTCTTTTGTCTTCCTTTCACGAGATAAATAATTTTCTCTATTTTTAAATTATTGCATTTTTTTGTTTTGCAGATTTGAAACAAAATGTATATGGTTGTATTAATTGCTGAGTTCTACGCAGTATCGAAGTTAATATTTTTGTTAGGTCTGCATTGTTTATACACAAAGAATAAATATTTTGAAAATATAAATAATGAACTTTATCGCAGAAAGTTACATAATGATAAAATTATTTTTGTATAAACATCGAGATAACGAAGAGAATACAACATAGATACACAGTGTATCTATAATTTATATAATTTTTCGCAAAATTAACGCCGATCTCAGTAAAAACTAATAAAGTAATTAACGCTTTTGAATAAATTCTTTAATTTTTTTTCGCATGCAGCGGCGGTTTTAATCCGCCATAATTTCAGACTTTCTTTTTAGTCGTCGAATCCAGCTCGTAATTTACTGAAGGTACACGATACCCACAGCAGTATTATATTTTTTTTCAAGTTTTCTCGTGATAAAAGAAAGTTTTGTAACGGTGTTAATGGCTCTGCGTGATACCAGTTTAACGTAAAAACCTTTGAGAAAGATACAGGTTTGCATACATACATGAAATTAAAATAATCGTATTCTTGTTATTTATTCTTTTACATAATTTACTTCTGTAATCTATGTACATTTTGTAATTAGATAAAAAATGACACCAATGAGAGAGAGAGAGAGAGAAAAAATGTATGTTTTTGGTGCGTAATCCAAACTACATGTCGAAATACTATTGTTAAATAAATATCTCACATATCAAAAACTCTATGTTGACTCAATTTTGTTGGCTGTTTATTTAAATAAATTATATAAATTAAATTTATATTAATTTTATAAGTTTATTTGTGAGGCGATTTATACAATAACTTAATAAATAAATAATTTGTTGCTTTTCTGCGACAGATTTTTGTTGATCCCGAAATTCGTTTCTCTTGTGCAGACGCAATAGTCTTCGTCCGAGAGGGCGTCCTGGAGGGTTCGCGGAGGTGATGCTCCTGGCGAGCGGGAGTGAGAAGCCCTGTGCGGCCCTTTCTTTCTCCAGATTCATTGAAAATCAAGACAGAGGACAGGGTCAGTTTCTGGCCCTCGAATCGCTGCAGCTAAGATCAAGGAAGCGGCCAGTGAAGAGGAGCGCCTCGTGGTGCACGGTGGTGCTCCTCTAACGGCAGCTAAGAAGGAGTTATGGTGTCTCGCACATGCAATGACTGTGGCCGCCGCAGCCGTGGCACTGTGGCATCGTGCCCACCTCTACAAGATGCTCGCCTGCGTCGTACTCGTCCTGATCGCCGTCCAGTATCTGCTTAGCGGCGGTGTGCTCGACCGCCGCTCCATCGAGACCATCTTTACCATCAACGCGACCAGGTAAGTCGTTCGCTCGATCTTACTTCTAATTACGAATTCCTTAAGCAATTAAACGCGACGTTGGCGAAACGTCTTCAGGGAAGTTTGAATATTTTATTTTTTGAATTTTAGGAGAAAACTTTTGTTTTAAATTGTTTGAAGAGAAATTGAATGTTAAAGATTTGTTGAATGTTGAGAGACATTCTTATTCAAACAAAACTCAGTTCGGATATAATTTTGTAGCTTTGAACATTTGTACAATTTACTTATTCAGTTCCATTAGCTGTAATTAGCCGAGTTAAAATTTGATGAACTATCTCTATTTCTCGTAATAGATTTGCGCTTCCCTGCACCTTCGACATAGCACTTTAAGCATTCCGTTCCGGGCTTTATGCAGACCCTCGTTTGCGCATCTTAATAGCTATTCGGGATGCATCTCGGGGGCTCTCGCGAAACTCGCGGAATCCGCAGCTGAAATTCCGTCCGACGTGCGCCGTCCGCTCCATTACGGCCCGTGCATTATCACGACGACGGGATGCACGCGTCTTCGTAACTCCGCTCTAATTGCGGGTGTCGGATTCTCGGCTTAATAATTGGCCGACTCGTTATTCAACGTCAATGGCTGAGCTCCGCTGAGTTGTGCCGTATTGTGCTGCAGCGCGTCGTGGATTTACGAGCGAGCGACAGACTGCCGCCTCCGTGCAGTCGTTGTTGACGTCGTTGAACTTTCCTCGGGAGAAGTTTGTCGGGAAATCTCGCGGAAGAGATCTCTCGTCTGCGATAATTGACTCGGATTTACTACCAACGGTTACAACCGAAAACTATTTCAGACGAGGATTGTTCCGAAATAATTGTACGGAAAATCCTGTTATTTCAATCGGCGAACCATACTTATTCGTATTTTACAACGTATTTTAGAGCTTGCAATAAAGTTTATTAAGACGACATTTGCTATTTTACACATACACACACACACACGGGTTCATAAAAAACGAAAGAATTACCAGTATTATTTTTGTGAAAAATTTTCGAGCTTAATTCTCTTTGAAATCAGATTTTTCTGATCGCGCGCTACGATTTCCTAGTTACCGTTCGGACAATCGCGCAACGCGCGCGCGCGCGCGCTTTCCACAACGCATTGGAAAGATAACGTCCGGAAATTGAAATTGAATGACGACATAAAGCAAAAATATACGCTTTTAAAGCAGTTGGATAAAAGAGAGTATTGAATCACTGGCGGTGCTCGGACCGGAGTCCATTATATTCGCAACGAAATTTAATCGTGAAATCGTCCACTGTTATAATCGCCATCCGCCGGATTATTTAGCCGGCCAATAATCGAGGACCGACTGAAGCGCGAATTATGATTGAATTTCGTGAAAACGTTTTTGCACGCGTGCACGTGGCTCACGTCGCCTGTTATTGTTACAAAACTGGTCGTAACGCGATTTTCAACGTTACGGTGGACGCTTTGAGCGCGTGCAACGAAGCGCGTTAAGTAACACTGACGCCAGATACACGTAACCAACCGCGTAATTGTATTCGGCTCGCTGCGAAATTACCCCGTAGCCTTTTCTGGTATCTATCCTCGAAACCTCATTAATAATTCAGTCTTCGCTGATCGTCTTACTCTTTGGTCGCTCGGACTTTATACGGAGTTAGTAAAATGAGCTTGTGGCTCGCCGTAATTCGCTGAAAGTTGAATTATAAAGTCCGTTTGAAGCGGGAAATTCTATTATAGTTACATTAGATCCCTTCCTTCCTTTAAGGGATATATTTTTTTTTTTTTTTTTTTTTTATGAGAGGTACAACGTATACGTACGATATTTGTAGTTTGATATTGTTTTCGATATATATGCGTACGTATCGAAAATATTTTTTGACGATAATATTTTCTTTACTTTTTTTTATCGCTTCGAACTGTCGGTAACGTTAAGTTTTATCTGCGTTTCATTCACGTTACGTAGTGGACGTCGAGGACGAGAGATATTGCGTCTCGGTAAGCAGATAAATGTTCCGACATCCGCATTTGTATGCCGCACGTGTATTCCAGTAACGTTAAGATCGATTCTTATCCTTTAGGGTTCATGGCAGAACGGACGGAAAATCTTATTACTCGGCTACATAACGAGGCAAAGTGGCTGCTTAACGATGGCGTCGGTACACGCGCGATTTACGGAACCCCTATAATGGGAAATAATCGGTTTCTCGCGCCGTCGATATATCGATCGGTTTCGCACACAATGCCACACGGTAACGCCGCTAAAATTTTACGAATCTACAGTTGAAGCTAAAGAAAAATCGCTAAGCTATAGCGAGTGTATTAATCTTTGCGGAAAGGCATTTTATATTCTGAGTGATGTTGAGACATTTTGTGCGAAATTTTCTTCTGCTTCTTTTCTTTTTTTTTTTTTCTTTTTTCCGCAGACTGTTTTCCTCGTCGTTTTTAATCTCTGCAATTAGGCGCTTTTGGCGCGCGGTGCACCGGCGAAATGAATGGCTCGTCCTGATTCGTGTTGCTCGCAACCGCGCTTTATTATTACGGAACAACACGCCAACGAACGTGCGACGAGAAAACGCAAAATACAGAGCTTTTGCACGTACGTTCCGTTAGACCGTAACGCAGTTTTTCAAACGGATCAAGACTCTGTAACTAAAGACTGAGATTTTCTTCAAAATGAACATAAAAAAATCTTTTCTTTACGCGCAATGTTGGTAATATAATGACACATCACAGAAAAGTCCGTAAAATATTACTGGCAAAGTTCACTCATTAAGTTTAAAGTCTTTTATACAATTTTCACTAACGAAGACGGATCTCGCTCATAGAGTTGTGCGAACTCTAAAGAAATATATAACATATATGTTGGGCACGTCGTAATGGTCCAATGCACCGATATTTTAAGCGCCATCGTATATCATCGCGTGAAAATTGCATTCAATTAGCGCACGCCGTCGGCAATTTCTCGGGCAACATTATGGTTGCAACTTGCATACAATGCGGAGAGAGAGGAGGCCATTAATTTAAAATTTTGTCGTCGTTCTGGCCGCGACTATTTGTCACTCTCCCTGTCGCAGGCCGCAGCTCGTTCGGTCACGTTGCCGCGAGGTTTGCAGTTCACGTGCAGTTACGCGACCGCCTCGAAAGATAAATAATTACAATAATAAGGCGTGACAGCTTTGCAAATTACTGAACCGCATTTTCCAGACTTATCTTATCGATCACACGCTGCCGATGTAACAAGCGTGTCATCGCCCAAGAGAAAAGAATTGTTTCATGCGCGCTCACTCGATCAAAATCTCTCACAGGTTTCACGATAACTTTTTGTAATAAACTGTTTTGAAACTTGGGGTACGAAATACCTACAAACTATAAACTTCCAATTTATGATAAAAAAATTAATTCAGAAAATGGATAAAAAAAATTTTCCGCGCCGGCACCACCTCCGATATAAAGTTTTTTATTAAACTGTTTTGAAACTTGGCGCTAAATAACTAGAAACTATATACTTTAAATGTATGTTAGAAAATTAATTCAAAAAATGAATTTTTTTCCCATCGGCAACACCTCCGTTAAAACTGTTTTAACTTTTTTCAATAAACAGGTTTAATATTTTGCACAAAATAAGTACAAACAATAGTTTAACTTTATGTATATATAATATGTCACCGTAGTCACGTGCGGTCACTGACCTCGGTCGCGTGACTGCGGCGAGGTCAATGACCCCGGTCGCGTGACCGCGGCGAGGTCAACGACCCCGGTCGCGTGACCGCGGCGGGGTCAACGACCCCGGTCGCGTGACCGCGGCGAGGTCAACGACCCCGGTCGCGTGACTGCGGTCAAAAATTTGTGTCTTCTGTTTTCTGAATTAATTTTTTATCATAACTTGAAAGTTTATAGTTTGTAAGTAATTTATGCCAAGTTTCAAAACAGTTTATTAAAAACTCTTTTATCGGAGGTATTGCCGGCACGAAAAAAAGTTTTTTATTCCATTTATGAATTAATTGTTTATCATAAATTGAAAGTTTACTGGTTGTAGGTATTATGTGCCAAGTTTTAAAACAATTTATTAAAAAACTTTATATCGGAGGTGTTGCCGGCGCGAAAAAAAATTCTTTTATTTGTTTTCTGAATTGAGGTTTTCAGAAATTGATTATAAATTGAAAGTTTACAGAATGTAGGTAGTTTGTGACAAGTTTCAATACAGTTTACTAAAAAAAAGTTATGTCGGAGGTGTTGCCGGCGCGAAATCGCTACGCCGCGAAGAACTGTCGAATTGATCGGTATTATCGGAAGTGTTGTCGGCGCGAATAACGCGAACCGCTACCGTGCTTCGTGATATTGTTTTGCAAACAAAAAGAAACGTCGAATGAAATGGCTCAATTCGCGTACGCGAGTTTCTGACGCAATTTGAGGGTGAGATGTATTTCTTTTTATATTTACAACTACGTATTGATATTTTTTCATCGTCGCGAAATAATCGGTTTGTACTTCACACAAAGATAAAAATTTATTTTTCGAAAAATTGTAACATTTTTTTATGATTCAAAATAATTTTACAGAATAATAATTTGTGAAACACAGATTTAATGAGAATATAACGAAGGGATGCTGAAGTTTGTATCTTGTTGAAAGTTGAAACGCGACAACGTAATTAACTCGTTCGATACGTGACGCGTTTCGTATTCCCGATACACGTAACCGCGGAGGTACGTTATATTATATATCACCAACACACACATGCGATCGAATACAGGACATCGTCGTTGCAATCGCTGCTACAAATCAAGTGGCTAGACGTTGCTCTGGCGCAATGTCGCATTAACGAGATGTATCATTACAGCGCGATGCCACCGTCCGATGTGATCTGTCATCTTATCGGATCATGTTAATGGTAACGACATCATTCTCGAATTTAAATGAAGATGTTATATAACAAAATGAAAAAGATTTGTCACACTTAATCAAAAAGATTAACCCTTAAATTCAATTAGCATAAAAAACAAAAATTTGTTTTATA